TGAAATTTCCATCGTAAAGGAACATGATTCTCAACCTCCTTTGTTTATTTTGAGATATTTCACTTTAAAGACTAGGAAAAGGACTTATACTTTGGCATAAAAATGAGGTTATGGAACATACACACAGGGAGCCTGATGAAAATGCTAATTTTAAAGGAAAATGTCAGACCGCATTTAGAGGTTTTTGCATCTAAAATCTTCATATATATATACACATATTTGCATTGTGGCATAAACATTTTCTTTTTTTTTATGGAATCTTTTCACATTCCATTTCAACTTCCAAAGAATGTGTTGTGAAAGTCAAATGTAGTGTGTGTCTGCATCTGCAGCATGTTGTGATAGAATTACAGTTGAATAAACTGCATAACCCTCTGAAGGCACTCGCATGTCTCTTTTGGGTATTCCATAATCAGCTAATCAGAAATGCAATTTATGGAGAGATTAATCAGGCTATGAATCATGGGGAATGAAAATCTGATTGCATTGTCCTGGAGAAAAACATTGCTTGCTAGAGCAGAGGACAGAATGCACAGCCACTCCGATGACTCATGTAACACTTTCCCTCATTGCTTTCAGAAGAGCATAGCTGTAGCTTGTTTTTTTTGGAGAAATGGATTTATATCTTACCTGCCGAGAGAACTCCATCATGCCTTCTTTTATAATCGCCACCTTTAGCCTTTATCCTCTGTCCTTTTTTAAGTTCATTTTGAAATCAAATTAATGGAGCACTTGACACCCTGATTATGCAGACGCACTTCTCAATCTGTTGCATCATTACGTTGACATGCTGGTAGGAAGAAGATGTTCCAGCAGGTTTTCAGAGCACCTCGCTGCTTCACAGCAAACATCAATATACTAAATATTCACTGCTGATGGTGGACCATTCCTGTCAACATTGGGATGTGAAAATAAGGTATATGCCCACCATAATAAGGGATTCCCCTGACCCCCCCATTTTAAAAAATCCCCAAATTACTAAATATGCTAATTTGAAGCTGTTTTGTTGTAAATAAACTGTTAAATGGTCAGTAATATCTTTTATTATTACTATTTTTTACAAAAGAAAAAATAAATGGTGTACATCAGCAGCTAATAAATTAGCAAACAGTTCAGCTTATTAAAATTAATAGCTATTATAATTAAATAGAATCAAGCTATCAATCTCATTAGCTGTTTCTTCACTGTATAACTTACACATTCTGATTAAAGACCAACGAATGAATCTCTTATTTGTTTAGTTTTTTTTCCTCGTTTGATTACATTAAATACCAGAGGTGTCACTTTAAAAATGCACACATCTAACGTTATAATGAAAGCATTCGACTGCTTTCCTATATTTTTGTGCTCACCCTGCTGAAAAATCCAGCTTAAACCAGCCTAGGCCGGTTTAAGCTGGATTTTTCAGCAGAGCATTTAGGATGAAATTAGTTGTGTTTGAAAAAAACACACCAAGATTGACATCTTTAGACATTATTATTTTTATTAGTTATGTGTATGTCTGTTTAAACAGACTTTTGCCCCGCTTTAAATCACGAGTACAGAATCCATTTTGGAAACAGAATCTACTATTTATCACTATGGAGTGCGTCAGCTGATAGTCACGTCCCACTATATGACTGTTTTGAGGATTGCATATGAAGTGGAGACGGCATCTGTAATGAAAAAGAAGAGAATCGCAACGTTTTTATATTTATTTCAAAGTTTTTTCATGCCTAAACAAAGCGGAAGCACAGAACAGATTCGCATTTAAGAACAAAGGGTGAGCCCTGGTGGTTTGTCGGTATAGGTTGTGTATAGGGAGGATTGGCTCTTTAATGTTTATTGGCACCCTTCAGAGGAAGACTGAAAATACAGGGAAAATACAGGAAAATACTGTTACGTACCTTTATAGGATAGAACTGTAAAATAGGCGAGAATCCCGGGAAAAACGTGAGGGTTGACAGGTATGTGTTGGACTTGATCTCGGTAGATAATCTGATCCGGCACCTCATTTTACCAATCCCCCTTCTCAACCGCCCTCCTCCCCTGTCTGCTGTTCACTTGCACTTTCTTCCACAAGTCCACAACCCTCTTCACTTTCATCTGCGACCAGGGCCGGAGCAAGCTGAACTGCCGCTCTAGGCAAAGGACGGTTATGCCGCCCTCAACCCTAAAGTGAAACTGGAGGGACGCCACCCTCCATATTCTGCCGCCCTAGACGCGGATATAACTGAGGGCGCGGGTGTTAAGGGTAGTGTCGCGGACGCCGCCCTAGACGCGGATATAACTGAGGGCGCGGGTGTTGAGGGTAGTGTCGTGGACGCCGCCCTAGACGCGGATATAACTGAGGGCGGAAGAGGTGAGGGTTGTGTTGGGGACGCCGCCCTCTGTATTCTGCCGCCCTAGGTGGCCGCCTAGGTCGCCTCTATGGACGCGCCGGCCCTGTCTGCGACACTCCTGCCACCCTCAGCCCTCCACCATCCACCTCACTAACTCCCAACCATCTCTCTCTCTCCCCCCTGGCTGTCCACTTTCATGCACGGCACCTCTCCATCCTCGCGTAACATGCTGGATCCGTTACTCCAATCTGTTCAAGGACTTCGCAATTTACATATTAAACACTGGTTAATACCAACAAGACTCAGCAAAGTCTGTTTGCTTGTGTGTGCTGTATATAAAGTCTGTGTAATCTGTCCTTGAGCAGCTCCCAACTGTGTGTGTGTGTGTGTGTGTGTGTGTGTGTGTGTGTAATCAACAAAGAACCAGAATAGATATATGTTAGGTGCATGACAGGATTTGTAGTTCTTTTGGTGGCAGATTTGTGGTTCTCCAGGATGTATGTTCTGTATGGACTAGATCGCTGGTGATTGTGACAGAGTCAAGTGCAGATCTTGGGTTAAAAATTGAGTCAACGTGCTGTGAAGCAAGTTACCTTACAATTTTAAGCCGAATCAACTTTTCTTTTTTACAGTGTAGAAACTGGGGACGTCATGGTGGTGCAGTGGGTAGCACAATAGCCTCACAGCAAGAAGGTCGCTGGTTCGAGCTCCGGCTGGGTCAGTTGGCATTTCTGTGTGGAGTTTGCATGTTCTTCCATGATTCCTCCGGGTGCTCCGGTTTCTTCCACAGTCCAAATACATGTGGTGTAGGTGAATTGGGTAGGCTAAAATGCCCATAGTGTATTTGTGTGAATGAGTGTGTATGGGTGTTTCCCAGTGATGGGTTGCAGCTGGAAGGGCATTCGTAAAACACATGCTGGATAAGTTGGCGGTTCATTCTGCTGTGGCAACCCTATAATAATAAAGGGACTAAGCCAAAAAGAAAATGAAAGAATGAGTGTGTCATGACCCTCTTCCTATTGAAAAACCAAAAGTTGGATTCAAGATGACCGACTTCAAAATGGCCACCCTGGTCACCATCCATCTTGAAAAGTTTGCCCCCTCACATATGCTAATGAGCCAGAAACAGGACGTTAATATTACCAACCATTCCCATTTTATTTAGGTGTATCCAAATAAATGGCCCACCCTGTATATTATATTAATGCATTCCATGGCACTAAAAAGGACTAAAGCATAACTATCAGCGCAGCACAGATTTGTGATATCCAGTATAGTCTGGCTGGCGTCTCCTCCACTCGTCTTCATTTAGCCCGTGTGCGAAAGACTTCTGTTCGCTGTGTTAACATATGCAGATGTCATTTTGGTGCAAATTGGTGACAAGAAAGCCAGGTTGTGCAAGCTGTTTATGCGCTTGTGGATAGTAAATAAGACGAAAAAGGAAACATCCATCTACGCCATCCATCACAGTGTGATTCACAGCCAAATCAGTCTCAAAAATAATATATCTGCCACATAAAATTCATAGTACTAAATTGGCCGTAGTGTATGAGTGTGAATGTGAGAGTGTATGGGTGTTTTCCAGTTCTGGGTTGCCAGAGGTTAACAAGAATTATTTATATTATTTATTAAATCCCTATTAATTGTACTTTATTAACGTCTACTCCTACACCAATCTTAAACCCAACGTTCAAAGTAATGTAAAACAGATCTGGAGCTGGAGCTTCTCTATTAGTTCAGCTGATTAACCATGTGGATGGGCCCATGTCTATCAGCTGATAACCACTGGTAACGGCTATTCATTCCAAACTTATGAATCCGGGGGAAAAAAAGAAGTTGAATTGGTTGATTCAGTATTTTAGCGCCAGGAATGTGAATATTTAATTTAATTTCATTAGCTAAATGTGTTTGTTTATGCATGAAAAACAATGCATGAAAAATAATGATCAAGATTTTTCCCAGAGATGGGTTGCGGCTGGAAGGGCATCCGCTGCGTAAAAACCAATGTAAAAACTTGCTGTATAAGTTGGTGGTTCATTCTGCTGTGACGAAACCGGTTTAATAAAATGACTAAGTTGACAAGAAAATGATTGAATGAATAGCAACTGCCTTTTATAGAAGCACAACTGATTTAAAAGCTCAAGAGTGAGCTGTAGCTGAATAAAATTTGAAAGTATCTTGAGTTTGTGTTAGCCACAAACCTTGTTTAATCGATTTAACTAAAATCCCATTGCAAAAAAACCCATTGAGGGAACTGTTAAGATGCTAACTCGCTTATAGGTTTTTGCATACAAATTGACGTCATAGTTCCTCGACTCTATTACAGCCTAGCAGACTCCCTCACCATTGCTGTTTGTTGCCCACACTGATAGCTGGAGGGGAGTGGTTAAGTATCTAGGCTTAGCTTAATTTTAACTGAAAACAATTAAAGATTACAAGGGCAACTACTTGCTTTCTGAATGACATGAACAGATGAATTGTTCGCCATAAAACTAGCAATGCGAGCAAACAAAGTCATGTGGTTAGTTTTGATTTCATGTGTACTTCAAATTTATGTAAATCAGGAAGTGGGATTTAAATCAAAAACATTTGCTCTCACTGTGTCCCTCCCCCACAAACTTTACAAATCAAAGTTACACGTTAGCATTATTACCCTTGTGTTTTGTGTGTTTTCCTCAGAGCGAGTATTCAAGTGACTCAGAGAGTGAAGACAATTTCCTCCTGATGCCCCCGAGGGACCACCTGGGCCTCAGTGTTTTCTCCATGCTCTGCTGTTTCTGGCCGCTGGGAATCGCAGCTTTCTACCTGTCTCACGAGGTGAGAACTGAAGCTCTCAACTGTCTATTGTGCATAAATGCCACATTCTAGCTGCATTTATTAATAATACGTAATTAAAAAGTAGGGTACCTTTCAATTTTTCCAAAGGTAAAAAACATTGTATGATCTGGAGTACCTTATATTCCTCTATAAAGGTTAAATGAATGTTAAATAATCATCAGTGAATGTCCATAAAAAGTCTGTATTGTCAAGAGTAAGGAGCGTTTACAGTTGCCAGGGAACGTTTCGTAACCAAAGTGTGGTAACAGGTGGTCGTACTGTGTAGTAATGGCTACTTCACTGCATAACTCAAGTCTGTTCTGCTTTATAACAAAACAACAAGGCACAAGGAATTAAGTTACAGTGTTTCACATAAAATACTGATTCTCAAGATTTTGGAGAAGGCCTTAATTTAATTTATTTTCTCATTAATGTATTATTAATTTATTTTTAGTTTTGATTGCAGGGATTGTTTTAAAAAATCTAAATACATCTGTATACTGCTACTACTACTAACAGCAATAATATGAATATTGCTAATTATTTAATTGGGTAACACTTTATTTTGATGGTCCATTTAAGTATTAGTAGACTGTCTGCTTATTAACTGTTGATATTGCTTGTAGATGCAATGTAACTTAAATCCAACAAATAGACCATCAAAAAACAAAAAAAGTGTGACCTGTAATAATAATAATAATAAGACAGATACAATAGCAATAATATAACAATAATAATAAAGATACGATAACAACTTGATTTTTGTCTTAAAATTAAGTATATTTTGCAAAATATAAATAAAATTATAAAATAAAAATGATGATGATGATTATCATCAACTTTATTATCAACATCATCATCAACATCATCATTGATATTATTATTATCAGTATTATTATTACTATTATTATTATTATTATTATTATTAATATTATCATAATCACAGTTATTGTTATTAATAATAATGTAAAAAAATTATTATATATTTAAATATAATATAATATAATATATTAAATACAATTAAAATATGAATAAATAATAAGATATATTTCCCAGTGATGGGTTGCAGCTGGTAGGGCATTCGTAAAACATATGCTGGATAAGTTGGCGGTTCATTCTGCTGTGGCGACCTCAGATTAATAAAGGGACTAAGCTGAAAAGAAAATGAATGAAAGAATAAATAATAATATATTAATAATAATAGTAATTAAAAGATAATATGATCATCATGGCTTTTATTATTATTATTATTTTGTCTTAAAATAAGTATATTTTGCAAAATCTAAAAAAAATCATAAAATAAAAATTATCATCATCATTATAATCATTGATATTATTATATTATAATTGATAATATCATTCATTCATTCATTCATTCATTCATTCATTTTCTTTTCGGCCAGGGGTGTCCAAACTCGGCTCTGGAGGGCCAGTGTCCTGAAGATTTTAGCTCCAACTTGCCTCAACACACCTGCAAGGCTATTTCTAGAAAGCCTAGTTAGAGCCTTATTAGCTAGCCCAACTGTGTCTGATTGGGGTTGGAACTAAACTTTGCAGGACACCAGCCCTCCAGGACCGAGTTTGAACATGCCTGGCTTAGTCCCTTTATTAATCTGGGGTCGCCACAGCGCAATGAGCTGCCAACTCATCCAGCATTTGTTTTTACGCAGCGGATGCCCTTCCCATCACTTTGAAACAATCATATACGCAGCGGTTGCAACCCACCACTTGCAAACAATCATACAAACTCATTCACACACATACACTAGGGACAATTTAGCCTACCCAATTCACTTGTTCGCATGTCTTTGGACTGTGGGGGAAACCGGAGCACCCGGAGGAAACCCAAGTGAACGCAGGGAGAACATGCAAACTCCACACAGAAACGCCAACTGACCCAGCCGAGGCTCAAACCAGTGACCTTCTTGCTGTAAAGCACTACCTAATGCGCCACTGCATCACCTTATTATTATTATTATTATTATTATTATTATTATTATTAATATTGCTATTATTATAAATTTTATTTAAATACAAATAGAGTAGAATAGATCTTTTGGAGTAATAAAACATCACAAAATATATCTATTATTCTAACTATATTAGCATTGCTACAGAAATAACATAAACATATGAAAAACAATTGGTTTTAAAGACA